AAGGAAGACCCTTGAGAGTTCTACATATTTCGTATTTTATAAATTAACTTTAACAAAATAGATGTTGAATTAATTTATCTTCTTTGCCATAATTAACAGTTTGAATGGAACATTCTAATGTGATAAGCATACGTACTACGTGTTGTGACAATGCTTGCGAAAATCGCCTTGACCAAACTAATAGCCATAATATATTTAGTAAATATATACATTTGTGAGAGATATATTACACAATACGACGATCGTGTTTCGAACGTTATCCGTCGCTTCTGTTTACATTACTATCTGGGCCCTATTTTATAAAAGTATTACCGTGGTATTTTTAGTTTACTGCAGTAATAACAAAGAAACCTGTTAAATAAATGTAACTAATAGTAAAAATTGGAAAAAAAAGTAATAATAGTAAAAATCTCCAACTTAAACATCTCATTAGACATTGTGCTTTCCAATACATGGGGAATATAAATTATGTATGTATCTATAAAAAAATTTGCTAAATACATGTTCCCTTTCGTGAAATACTTAATACTTTTTGAATCTTCAACCGTTTCCACCCTTTAGTGTAGATATTATTCTGAGGTTTGAAATCAAATTAGAAACATAAATGTTCTATGATCAGAAATGACTACCTTAAATACAATACTAATCCATGGAAATGATAACTGCAATTTTACCACAGTAAGATGCCGTAGTATTTTTTTTATAAAACATTAAATTCTACTATGGTCAAACCTCTTACACAATACCGTAGTATTTTTTCATAAAAATACTGTAGTAATTAATAAACTTTAATAAACAAAGTCAACCACAACAAACTTTCATTATTAATAACTGTAGTAAAAACAGTATTATTTGCCACTCTTCTATGAAATATGCCGCTGGCCTTGAATAGAGACCGGCAATAAAAAGAATTAAGGATTTTCTTGATTACTGTACTTATATTTTTTAAAAGAAAAACAAATCTTTCCTTATCGGTCATTACGCTCAAAAAGTGTATAAGTTGTTTATAATTGCATTGTAGTTAATTATAATTGCAGAAGTTGATCAAAAATGCTATGCAATAGCTTTACCGCGGCAGTCCCCGAGTACCACAATTTTTTTTTATATATATATTTAGGTAGGTAAATAACTCTGCCCCACCTGATGTTAAGTCCAGAGTCGCTGGTGCATATTGAAAACGGTATGAGTAATGTGTTATTATACTTCTGTTTTTTTTTTCACATAATTATGATGTATGTGAATGATTTAAATTTAAAATTAAATCATTCACATACAGCACATGTTGTTACAATGACGCTGAAACCAAAAAATGAGTCGTCGGTATAAAAATCATTGGGTGAGAAGGCGCACTTTCACTTAGGGTCGTCCAGCTTTCGGCCTCTTGCGATGTGAGGCGCGTCTCAGACTCGCTGGCACTCTCCAAATCGTAAACAGAAACGATGCGGCCTATCGCCGTCTCACTTGTATACCGAGCGAGAGAAAAGAAAGCAATGTTAGGCAAATGGAAGCTTACGATACGTGGTAACCCCGCCAGCGCGAGACGGTGACGACACGCACTACTTACCACTGACTGTATTTACTCTTTCTTGTGTTGGGGCAACAACCTGCGCCTGACTCGATAACCCATTTGATGAGCTATCGTTTGTTATTCAAAGTCAAGTTTAGGGAAAACTTTAGAAGAAAACGGAAGATACAATCACGTGAGGAATTTATATATTTGTGTCAAAAAACACTAAAACATAGATGACATAACAAATTCGAGCAGCCAAACGTGTTCAATGAAGAGATATCAAATGTATACCACATACATACATAGTAAGAATTTCATTATCATTTAAAAATCAAATCTATCTTTTCAAATAAGTAAAAGTGTTTCGCGAACAAGGTCATCAAAAAACCAGCTTTCTATGGGAGATAAAAGCGAAATTGAATACGGCTTGCAGAGCTGTGCGAAAACTAATATTTGTACGGCAAATGGGTAAACAGTATACAGCCAAGGCTGGCAATCAACGACAGCTAAAATTATAATAGGCATAGATTACATTCAGTCGAATCAAGTATTCAATAGATTGATCACCACTTACACATACCTATACTTATGTAGGAATTAATTTAGTTTCTATGAATGGCGCAATGAACTGTAATGTAATAAGTATTAATTAACTGAAAAGAAAGTGACAGTCTCCCAGAAATTGTAACATGTCGACGACGTATTCCACTTCAGAACGAGCAAGTTACAATGAACCACGAGTTGAATGGCGTGATCTTAACCTACATTTTTCACAGACGTCCGTCGTCGCGGCAGCGAGTGCCATTATATTAACAAAAAAAGAGTCCCATTGCTTTGTCATTCGAAGTACACCTGTTTTTTTTTTCGACTCAATCAATTTAGTTGCTAATTCTATTGAGGTCTTTAACGCTTGCCCAGTTACAAGTTCATTCATATTTACGAGAACAGATTACAAAAAATATGGATGCCGAAATGATGCTCTTATCACTTTATTAGCACTTTCCATTCAGCTAGCGATATACGCGACACCGAATGAATACTAATCAAATATTCGGGTAAGTCCAGCGAATACCCTGTTTCCATGCGCGGTTGGTGAGTAGGTAGGTAGCATAGTTACATGTACATGTAAGAAGTCTAGCAAGGAAATGTTCTGCGTGTACTTATAATTTTCAAATACCCATTACAATCTGAATACTTACAGCTAAATTATATATTTCAGAAATCCATAACGCTGCGAACCCTATTGCTGTCACTCTGTCATCTGTCCGTATGTCACGAGTCCCTAGATCGTAAATGGAATGAGTTACAGAACTGAAAATTTTAAAATTTTCTACCTCTTCTATTGTCAAGATTGAACTGAAAAAATGTTTACCTAAAAGTTGTAAGCCATTTGTTAAGTAGAGCCGACGCGCCGACTACATATCAAACGAATATTTTTTTAGGGTTCTTTAAAACATTTCGATACTTAGATATATAAAAAGGAAGCGCCTACGTCCTTAGTGTGTCAACGAAGCCAAGAACTGTGCCGCGCCGAATTTTGATAATTTATTCAAATCACAAGGATGTGGCCGATTTTTCCAAACGTATCATGTTGTGACAATTCCAAATTATTGTAATCCGGGTTAAAAATAGTTAATGCCCTTGAAATCATTCGTACGTGAACATATATGGCCATATAAGAGCATCAAATTTGCGTCCTATGTAGTTTTTCGAGCCACACTAGTTTAATTCAGCATTGCATAGCTTTAAGTCAAGATTTTAACTGGGCAGTTAGTATTTCGCCTAAAATAAATTGACGGGAAAGTTAAAAAGTATATTTTTTTTCTATAAAAGGATATTTACACTTTTCCATACATGTATAAAACAAAGAATACTTACATCTTCTGTAAGCGGTATTAACGAAAATGATGAAATGAACATAGCACAAAGTACTTTTTTTATTGCTTGAATTAATAGAGCTTTACTTTATTATAATATAATTGCACAATGATATATATGCATGTCAATACATTTTAGCGTAGTTTGCATAATAAGTACTCATAAAGCTATGACAAATTACTTTGCCTAACATCATTTATGTTTTCTAGCTAAATTTGTACATATTAAGGCGGTCTCATAAATTTGATTACAAAAATTTGTAAAATAATACTATAAATGAAATAAGTAACAAACAAAGTGATTTTAACAGTGCCAGATTAGTAACCTGATATTTATTCAGTGTTTATCTCTTTGAGTACCTAGTTTGTATATTAAATACAAAGGACTCATTCCTTTGAGCAAGCCCTTATAAAGTGTGGTCAGACGTTATTCTGATATAAGGAGTAATTGGAGTGCAGTTCATTAGTATTCTACGCAAGATTGATGAATAGTAGCAACCATAAAACTGTAATGTCTTCAACACTACTTTGAATATGTATACGAGTATGGTTTCAAATTACCAGTGGTCCAGTGCAAGCCTTTAAGAGCAAGCGCACATTGAGCCATTAATCGCGACCTCTATACGCGACTACTTGTGGCCCAGTCAAGCCACAAGACGCAGCCACCAATCAAAGTCGCTAGTGGCCCCCACTAAGCCACTACTGGCTTTGCAACGATTGGTGCCTGCGTCTAGGGCTTGACTGTCCAGCAAGTGGTCGCGTTTAGAGGTCGCGATTAATGGCTCAATGTGCGGTTGCTCTTTATGTGATCTCATGATTTAATCAGAGTTACTATTGAATGAAAATAAATTGCTATAAATAAAGTTTAATGTTAAATTAAAATGATTTATTGAGTTTGGTTTACGACAGTTTTGTTATTAGAGCGACCACACTTCAAATTTATTTCATAATCGTGAATAAAAACAGAATTATCTAAAATTGTAATATTATTATTAATAAGATATTTCAGAATGGCTTTAAAGCACCGTACCGTATTAATTACTTACTGGTTTATGCAATTCCACTTTACATATTTGATTTCATTTAAATATTCTATACAAGATATACAAAATAATTAAAATTGTTGACTCATATTAGTTTCAATTCGACGAAATAGACAACAAATCAACGAGCTGAGTTTGTAAATTTCTCCATTACTGTTCGTCAAACAACATTAGCTTTACTGGCATACTACTGTGTCCAAATCGTTCATTAATTTTTGAAGTTAAATTGGTATGTACTCTTTTTATGTTAATATTAAAATACTACACTAACGACAACAAACGACAGCATGAAACATTAAATTGATTGAAACCTCTAAGTCTCTACAGCACAAAAACTATAAAACCACACGAAATATTTGATTTCTATGCAAGGTTTGTTCGTGATTCATAATATAACTTTATCAAAAAAAAAATAAGGTTGCAAACGATTACAGTCAGTGCGACAAAGATTTTTATGAATATAACTGACATTTCAGGGATGGCGTCACTATCTAAGTAAATGTCATACAAGGTATGACGCAAATACCTTTGTCGCACTATAGATGGTACTTTTAGAGATCGACAGCTTACCTTCTTGTGGTTCCAGAGCACATTCACTGAGGGTTTCCCGCGGCGGAAGTCACTCTGGTCGATGACGTCATCGTGGATCAGTGACGCCGAGTGGATCATCTCGCTGATCATTGCCACTTGTCTCTGAGACGGCAGCAGCGCACTACGTCGACAAGCAAATAGTTTTGTTAAATATAACCTAAACCTTTTGTCCTGTGAGACAAAAGGTAAACAAACCATAGAGGTTTTTCAATAATAATTTTCAAAATCATAATTAAAAAAAGTTGCATTAAAAAGATCTACAGCTGTAGCTATTCCCAAACTTTCAACGCATTATAACACTTAATTAAAGAGTAGCGATAAAGCAAAATAATTTACGTTGAAATGCGAAATTTTGTAATAATTCTAATTACACTGGCCATCTATACGTACTCATGATAAAAAAAAAGTTTTAGAAACATGTTTCATTTGTTTACCTTTGGTCGATAGGAAGTTGAATTGGGTATAATGAAATAATAGGAAATACAATAACGACATGATGAAATTGAGATATACTTTGGCAAACAAAGAGTCTTAAGAAAAGTTTACTCGAAAAAAATCCATTTCTAGTAAACTTTTCTTAAGATTTAAACATCTAGCAGTTAAATGCTTAAAAAATAAATAAAAACATAAACAAAGAGTCGCTCAATGAGCAATCATTCCCGAAGTATTTATTTTCATTGGTTGGTAGTTTAAATCCCATTTTTGATACTAACGATGGACGATCCCATTTGCTATAATACTTGGTTCACATGTTTAAAATGCGTATATGTCTCCCTTTTAGAATATTATCCGGATATTACTGTAGTTTTTATTTTAAACACATATAGGCACGGCCGGTTTCCTAACAAAACCCAAACATTGTAATCATTCTATTTTTCGAAATATATCGTTAACTAGTTTCACCATGCAATTTCTTTTGCGTTATTTTTAGAATGTTGTCCATTCCACCAAGGTTAATCTTTCTGTGTCCAATTTGTGTCAATTACAAAATCTGTTCATCAGTAGGACACACGTAACATTAACATCGCTATTACAAAAGCTTTTTATAAGATTATACTCTTTAGTAATTATACTTATCCCGAAATTCCTTATATTATTATATAAAAAAGAATTTCTTAAAATGTTTTGATTATCCAAATACTAATATTATAAATGTGAAATTTTCTAAGTTTGTAACTCAATCACGAAATTTGGTAGGTAGGTCCGCATAGAGTTTAAGACCTGGATTCAGACATAAGATACTTTTATCCCGGAAAATTTTTAGGTTCCTGTGGGATTCTCAAAACCCCAAAGATGGCACGGACGAAGTCGCGGGTGGCCGCAAGTATAAAATAAAAACAATTGCTCTTCACACACAACCAAGCAAGGAATCCGCATTTAGTACACTCTCGCTAAAACAGCATAAAGTGGTTATACTAGACCAATAAAACATGAGATAACAACTACTGACATAACAGTCCATAACTGAACAACTCGACCCAGACATTACATACTTGATAATAGATTATATACTACTTGAAATACCAGTCCACCCCGACAAACTCCTTGAGCAACGACCGTAGAGAAGGAAGCCTGCTCAGTAGCAATTTTACATACAAATACGTCTACTGCTCAAATTTATTTGTCTGGTTTTGCTCAAAAAGTTTGCCGCTACCTATTATACTCGACAATATAGAGGCTGTCAGCGCAAAAGTGGCCTAACCCTCAATTAATCATATGCCGATTCATCTTCTACAATTCAAAAAAAACGTGTTAAAATTCAATTCAAAATCGCCATTAAATTCAGGCGTCAATAGATGGCGTTGCAACAATTATATTTGCATAGATTTATTTCTCTCAACGTAAACTTCATAAGTGGCCCAAGCCGCTTAATCAGAATATGAAAAATTGACCACTTTTGCGCTGACCTCCTCGTAGGTGGTTATATTACTTTTGGCTGGACCTCTATGGATAGTTATTGTGATTGGAAAAATCTTACCAAAATATGTTTACACGTTTCAAATATGAATGAGTAAAATCGAAATAGATATCTTATGTCCTAAGAACCTCAATGTAACGGTTGAAACAAATAAATAACCAAAAGACACAATGGTATCGCTAGCTTACTAAAAAAAGCGACATTCTTTTAAGTAATGCATGTTTTTTCCTATTTTTGGTGTTCTGATTACACGTTGAACACAAAAGCTTAACGCCAACAGAACTGAAAAAAAAGCTGTGGAATTATGAAGCAAAATGATGTCTTAATTACTTCCATCACTTAAGTCCAAAGTAATTATAAAATAATACAGTATAAATGGCAATACAAGCTGTTTTAATTAAAGTAAAAATTGCACCTTCTTTGAGAATCATTAAGGGACCGCGCTGAATTCTCGAGCGTTCAAGGTTCATTTTAGTATGCACACAAGTATTTTATTCATTTATAAATAATTCTAGGCGCACTCGTCATATCTTATAGCACTTATCACATTTAATTTAAATATTCTTTGCATGTAAAGAGCAGTCAGAGATATCACTGGAGCGCGTGAATGTACTGTTCAATCAACGTTTTTACTATTCATTTATTGAAATAAAAACGGCTGCTTCATACTGATTCAGCGCAAAGGGTTTTTACAGAATGTCCTTTAAATGTATCAAGGAAAAATCTTGATAATATTGGCCTTTCAAACGCACTTATGTTACAGATCACATAACTAGTAATCAAATCTAAACAGAGTGTTGACCCTTTTTATATATAACTTTTTGTTTCAATCTTCCAGACTAACCAAATAACAATAGGCTAGTTGACCCTTTTTGGAAAAATATTTTAAATGGTTAACAAATGTTCTATTAGACGGAAAAAAAATATTGTATTTTTTTGAGACCTAGAAAGCTACAAATCTTCAATTTTAAAATAGACTTTTCATGGACATACAAAAGCGCTGTCGGCCATTTTAGTCTATAGATTATCTATGCTATGACGTCAACCGGTAGTAAACAAAAACTCGTAAGCACGTAGAAAATAACCTATCTGAGTTTATTCTAAATAAAAAAAACATGATTTCTAATAAATACCACGAAAAATATAGTACTTATCATTATTGTATTGTACGAGAATGTAAATTACAACCTTCAAGGATGTGATTTACATTCTCGTAGTCCCAGGAAAGTTGTGGATTAAAGTGCCGAAAGAAATTAACCTACGCAATACCTGGTTAGAACTTGCTAAAAGGGATCCTGCAACTTTATCGACTCATAGTAAAATTTATTTTTGCGAAGATCACTTTGATGTAAGTACTCATTGAATAATATTTTAAGTCACTTCATTTATTATCAGTTTTAATAATACAAGTTTTAAGGTTATGTATGAATGACATTTAGTTGTTTACTACCAAAGAGACGTCACAATCATGGCGGATGTGGCGAACAGCGTTTTTAGTGTTTAAAAAGTATAGACTTAAAATATTGTTAAAATTAAATTTCTACAGCAATCTTCTATTTTTATGAAGTGCAATCGATATATTTAGGTTTCTTAGACCAAATACTTTAAGAAATAAACATTTATTTAATACAATTCAACATGACAACTAGCCTATTATTGTATAGTGGAGTAAGATTTGTGAGAGTTCTAAGTTTGAGCCCGAATAAAAAACGGTCGAATTACACTTTTGATTTTTTGTCGTGTGAAGCTATGATAACTAACACCAGACTTTTGAACCATGGTGTTGGTGTGGAATTTTTTAAGTCAACACATTTGATGTAAATCATAAATCGCTTTAAAAATATACATATTTAATATAAAACTTTTCTCAAATTTTTTTTCAATGCAGGATCACAACCTACTAGGTGTGTCTACATAATATTACGTTCGGTTTTTCAATCAAGTAGGTATATGACATTGGCGCAGATTAAATAATAACTTTAGTATTCAATGTCCAAAGGTTAAAATCAATGAAAACCAGTTGATGAGTTCGCAAGTAGACTTTGCTCTATGATGACCGCCACTTCGGAATTGCCAAATCATAATAGTGTAGCAAGATGATAGATATCAATAAGCCGATGAGACGAAATTGCCGTTTGTCATATAGCCTAGCCCTTATGTGAGCACTGTAAGGCTTGTGTTATGGGATACTAGGGTAACGAATAGAACACATATACAGTGCATATGTAAGTATATTTTAGTTAGAGTACAAATGCTCGTATTCATCACACAAACATCTGCCCCCACCGGGATTCGAACCCGTGACATCTCGAGTCGGCGGCACCATGAAACCCGGCGTACAAACCACCGGCCGGATGACCTCCGGCCACGGAGGTCATCAATGTGGAATGGAATGCGTTTTTATTTCGATAAACAGGAAAAAGTTTTCTTTATAATTAAACTGACACGTACACATGTATTACTGATAGGAAGCTATAATCACTGCAATGAAATAGCGATTTAACTAGGAAGCGATTTGCATAAAAAAAAACACTATAATATGCCAATGCCGAAAAAGATGCAAATTAGTAAACGCGGTAGAAATATCTCAGCTATTGCTCAGCGATATATATTATGTATACGAATAGCGGCCTCCCGAAACGTCATCCTCGTTAACTTTAGTTTTTTCAAAAATCCAGAGGAATCTGTCATTTTTCCAGAATAAAAGTATCCAGATCATAAATTATATGCGTACCAAAGTTCATCCAAATCGGTTCAGTAGTTTTGCGTGATTGAGTAACAAACATACAAACATTTTACATTTATAATTTTAGTAGGACTCAATAAAGGGGCAAGAAGCTACAAATTGGAAAAGTATTACGTCTCTTAAGTGATTGTAACTTAAGCCTAAATTTAGTGTCCTGCTTATTCCATAAAACTCCATTTGTGGTTTATGAGTTTTCCAACGTTTACTAAGAGTTTCTTTTTAAAGTTACAAGGCATTTTTTATTTAATTTCATAATATTTTAATTTCTAAGACTGAAAAAGCAATATAGTCATCGTAAACACATGGCATTCTCAATATTTTATTGCTTCTCGGCTGTCTTTGGCGTGTCTTTCGGTTATTGTTCATGTTATTTTTCTAAAATGGAGGTCAAATTATCAACATTAACCTTGTGTAGTAACAATAAGAGACATAGATTGACCCCGAGAATGCCGCACAAAAGCAATCTAACGCGCGCATGTATCGTTTTTTGAATCATTTGTATCTTAATGTTATTTTAAGTTGGTATTTTTGAACATTGAATTACCGTGGCAACAGTTTAATCAGTATTTAAGATTTCTTGTCTGAAGCGGACATTGTTTGTGGGAGGTAAATACAATACCTTAATAAATATTGGCCGTTGATTTGATCCCAAGGTAAGTAGCTAAAAGCTGCAACTACTGCTTAAGCACTAGCTAGCAGCTAGCACACACTATAGATACTGCTAACGTAATGATTGCGTATCAACTCTGAATGGTGTGTAGTGGTATTGATTATTATCACTGTTCTAGTCAAAAATAACAAGATACTTCTTTTACAAAATACATATAACACTTTTTATGTGAACACAGTGAAAACCTAGCATTTAGCGCTTCTAGTTGTGAGCGGCTACAATAAACTTTATGCCTATGATTGACTACCACGATGTTTACTATTTTGACTTGTTAACATTGAGCTTTGCAACGCTGTTTGTGTTCTTGTTTACAAAAACATACAACAACAACACAAAGTGCAACGGAGCGCGTACTGTTTTCTTCGTTTTTTTCTCGTTATACTCTAAAGAGCATCAAGTTGACTATATAGAGTATAGCACAGCACAGCGCAGCATAGCTGGACGTTGATTGGCCACCCACAACTTTAGCCCGTACCCCATGGAGCACCCTACTCACTGTTGAACACAATACTAAACAATAAAAGGGATGACGACTAACTTTTTATTCTTTTATTATTTTTTTCTTTATTGACATAATCAAAAAACTAGAGATATCTTGATTTGAAATGTCGCATGACGTCACGTTTTGGTACAAATTTTACTTAAAAGTAAAGTCACGACCAAACTTTGATGCGCTTTTTATTTTTTTGGTTGATTGACCAAAGAAAAAATACGTATCCATTATTTTTTGATAATTTAACTGATAGACTAAATAAAATTTCGTTTACGTTACCCCGTCGTTTCCCCTATTATTTAAAACCTCGCTACAATCTTCGGTAAAGCGCACGTTACTTCTCCAGGTGAGTGCCCCAATGCGAGCAGATAGCCCAATACTCCAGCCATCTTACGGAAATTATATTTTTAAACAAACATTTGAACACTTTTCATGATTATTCCACAAATAAGTACGTTATAGTTCCGACATTTAATAACAAACTTGAACAATATAAGTAAGCTATTATTGAAGTGCAGATATTTCTAAAACGTAATAAAAAAGTACTTTTGAGTTTAAGTATTTGTTTACAAACAATTATTCCCTGAAATGGCTGAAGTATAGATGCCCTACTGTTCAAGTGTCACTCTTTTCCGATATCAATAGAATAACACGTCACTACGACAACCATCAAATTTATATGTAGTCTCTGTGGCCTGAAGTCCTTTATCAAATTATAATTAATATAACAAACTCACCTGTTTTCACCGTATACGTGGTAGTTGACAGCTCTGGCCATGAGTATGGCTACCATGGGCCTGAGCGCCTTGCCCTGTCCGTCGAAGTAATATGTGGCTATGGTGTTAAGTTCTGCCTGATTGGTGTTCTTCTGCAACTCCTGGGAACCAAAAGGACTACATTCGACTTGGAATCTAATCTGAATTGCAATGAAAAAAATCTTAACTATATTGTAAAAGGAGGAGCTCGATAGCCCGGTGGTAAGCTCGTTCAGTCTGCGATCGTGGAAGTTAGATATTTTCGCAATGGCCGGTCATAGATTGCAGTCGAACATAGAATGGGTGAGCATGAGTTTATTATCTCGAGTTCCTCCGCGCTTCGGAAGGCAAGTTAAACCGTTGGCCCCGGCTGCATCTGCAGTCGTTAGCACCCAGAAATACGCACTGGGCCCCCGTGGTGGGTGATGGTCTATTCTCAATATTCCATTCATAGGAAAAAAGAACTTTCACCAAGCAGTCGGGACAATAAAATTTTATATTGTCAAATGAAATAAATTACCGAAGTTTTAATTAATTACTAACTTTTTTTATTTAATTTCAATTATACATTATTGTCAATGAAATTGTATAATAAGGTTTCAAGAGAATTAAACAGTATTAAATTATTATTTACATTTTCCGCTATGAGTGAAATAACTAGATTCCGTATTTAAAAAAAAATAAGAGTGTTGATTACTAATCTAACAACCAAGAAAAAGCAACAGTGACTGACAAAGCAGTTCTATATTAACTTAATGTAATCGTAGAAGTAAAAATGTATTTGTAGTGGACTTACGTCAAACAAAAGAATTATCAATTATATTATTCTTATAACCACGAAAGATAGAAAAGCACCAAAACGTCAATAATTAATAAACTTCATTACTCATATGTGTTATAAAAATATTTGTTGATTTTCATTGTATCTTTAGTTTAATGCCAAACAAGATTCATACCAATGGGCAAACTACTACAGGTTTTTGCCATAATATTACATTACGTTGCGTAATTACGCATAATATATTTAATATTGAGCACCATGAAAAAAATTCAATTCAAAAAATATAATAAAATTATAACTTGCGCTACGAAACTGTAACACATTCGTAGCTAATATTATATTAGTAAGTAGCGCGTAGTTTTCTAAAGATTGCTACGGTTTCGTAGAGTTTGCTACGAAGTAACAAAAGGGCGCTTGATGGAGCATGCAGCAATATTTATGTGTTTGCTCGGTCATGATTTCGGTACTCAAGTGTTTTAGTCCTTTAAACGATTAGTTGTTGCATCACGCTTTGTGTATGTGCATATTACTTGACGCAAGTCCTCTCGCAACTGTAGACAATGCGAATCTCGACATTCACGTTGCGAAAAATTTACTAATGCTCTTTATGAGCGCTCTAAACTAATTTTATTGTGCAGTGGCCGGATACAATTATTTGCATAAGAAACATCAAGCTTTAAGGAATGGGATGTTATGAAAATAAATATTGCAACTGCTTAATAACAGTTGCATGGACCGACAATTCTGTCTGTTATAAAAACAAGATTCTCGTCATGTTTCCATTTTCCCAGTCACTGAATAAGTCCATCTATTGTTAACCCATTTTACTTAAGGTATTATTTTAATTGATTAATTTGTATGCAACATACATAAATTATACAATTCAAACTATCCATATTCATTATTGTAAGAGTTAAAACAAAACATCATTAGTAATAGTGTATTCATGGTTAGTTGATAGCTCAAGTAAGTAAACAAGCATACTGTTTCTTCTAATTGCCCCTCAAATAAATAAATAAAACTGATATATGTATAATCATCATCATCAACCTATTAATGTCCCCACTGCTGGGGCTCTGAGCTTCTCTATGGATGGAATAGTGAGATTGGGCCATAACGCACCACGCAGCCTCAGTGCGGATTGCTGGGTGCTAACAACTGCAGATGCAGGCGGGACCAAAGGCTTAACGTACCTTCCAAAGCACGGAGGAGCTCGAGATAGCAACAATTTTGGTCATCCATCCAATGGCCAACCACTGCGAACGCTGCTTACCTTCAAAGAACGCAGTCGAACGTGCTAACTACTTGCGCCATCGAGCTCTTCTGATACAATAATATATACAGGTGAAAATGTTAATCTGGATATTATGTGCATTACGGGACTTCGGGCCGGTGCGATATGCTTGTCTCCGTCTATATAGCAACGCATAAGTTAAAAGGAAAAGTAAATCGCATTGGTCCGGTAAAAAATCCCGTTAACAAGAGGCCTAAGGTTGCGATGACGCCCTTATCATACAGCAAAATTTTTACGACAAGTCAATGCCATTAAATGCCATTTTTTATTAGAAACTTAGCGTGAATGGCAGGTTTCAACACTTCAAAGCCGCATTTGCGGTGATTTAATAGTTAAACAATAGAACGCAAATTGAGAATGAAGGTTCAGAAAAATGGTAGGCACGTTTTTAGAGAGAGCGTATAGTTCAAAGCTATTTTTTTTACTGCGGTGGAAAGTAGAAGTAGTACAAGAAATAGATCATATATAATTTAATACATCACACCAAACATCCACAACATAAAAGTGTAATAACACTGATGAAAAAATATCTGTTAAAAGGAAGACCATCAATCCAGAAATCAATTACTACCAAACTTATTAATTTTTACATATCAAAAATATCAATAACTTGGTAAAGAAACCATTTATTTTCTGCAATGTTTCAACAGCCAGTAATTACTCAAACAAAAGTTCGAAGTTAACAGTTTACTTGTAACTCTATGAATAAAATGAATATTATAGAAATTTAACAAAAGAAATTTGTTAGTTTCTTATACGCAATATGCTAATATAAAAACAACTCCGCAAAAGTAATTTAAAATTAAGAAATGGTTAATAATTTTCTCCTCAGCGGCGCATCTCGATTACCACAACTTTTCTGAATACATAACAGTTATAATAAAGCAGGTTCAATGTTGCCGAAAATCTTAACGAGTTACGAAAGACTCGAGATAAGAGTTAAACATGTGTGACATTACTATTGCATGAGTAAAGACGGCACAGAGGCAAAGCATCATGCAGTGCACGTGCAGAAGTGAGCACTGGTTGCCTGTCATATAAGCAGACAGACAAACGTCCGCCAGTGCTCATCCATCACACACGCGCAATAGGCTATTTAACAGTATGAAAAATAAAGTAACCGTTATAGGCATTGTATTTAACGTGAATATTGGGAGCGATTTTACTAACAAAATAAAGTAGTTAACAATACTACTAATAATATATATCACTACAGGGAGAAAAAAGCAGTCCTTGCTGAGTTTCTTGTCGGTTCTTCTCAGTACAAAGTCTCCCGCCGTAGTTTTGCGAACCGATGGCGTAGCTTCTTGACCTTCACAAGTGCTTGTAATAGCCTAGACTGAATAAATGACTTTTCATGTCAACATTATTACTAAAAATCGTGTAATAGAAAAGTGGCCGAGAACGAAAAGGATTGGCGGAGCCTATAATGACGTCACCTGCTTGTAAATATTCTGTTGAAGTAACATTACTTTGTACTGTTTGACGTTTTCATGACAGTCGTGTGACGCCACATACCTGTAAGACGCCACATTGGCAAGGGAAACGTTTCCGCGACATATTTGAAAACAGAATTTTTATTTTCGTTTTTTCCTGATATACGCAACAGAACTATCATTATCCATTTTTATGAAGACACCAATAAATAACGTATGAACATTTTCAAAAACTTGTCAAATAGCCTATTGTATGAAGCTTTGCTTCTGTGTCTTCTTTACTCATGTGTTACTGCCTGGTTTAGGAAGCAGGCTGAGGCGGTGCGGCGTTTAGAAATGCGCAACCAGCATTCATGTAGGGGGCCTAGTTCCAGACGAGTTTTCCAAACGGAAAGTAGGCGAACGAGAGACGAAGCTGCCAAAGGCGAGACCGTCATACCTTCATCTCGTGTTTAGATTCACATATCGCTGTTATATTTGATAAGTAAACTTTATAATGTGATAAACGTAGTTATTAGAAAAAGATATGCCTGATTCGTTGAAAGTCGAAATAATTTTGCTATGATTTCCTTTAGGGAAACCGGGGCGCCTTTATGTATTAAAATAATCAAAAAATAATTACGTTATTATTAAAATAATTAAGCAATACTCCAATCACTGTATTTACTAAATGTATTTTAAACTCTCCAACCAACGATCGTACAAGAAGCTTCAACTAAATTAAATGTTTCTGCTATTGCAAAGAAAGTGACAGCATAAACTTTAATCAAACTTAAATATTAATTCGGAAAATTAGAAAAAAAAAACACTTAATCCAGGTAACAGACAGACATGTATCGTGTCTGATGTTCTAGATTTATCATATCACCCTACAGTAACTAGAAAAAAACTTTTTTTAAAAGATTTACCAGCGAATTAGTAAATTTAATGTATGTTGTGATGGTGCATTAATAGAGTACTTATTTTATATATAAATAAATAAATATTTCCAGCATTCACACCAATTAGCCTAGCACCAAAGTAAGCACTGTAGGCTTCAGTTATGGGACCCTTCGGTCGGTTTCGAAAAAAGAAAAATATTTCTGCTTTTGAAACCAGTTGCTAAATAAGAAATATGTTTCGAAAACGGTCGAAGGGTTATAGGATACTAGGGTAACGAATAGAATACATATACTGATACATAAAAAAGTATATTTATATAGAAATAACTTTATACATCCATGACTGGAGTAAATTAATCGTATTCATCACACAAACATCTGCCCCCAAATATAAAATAAAAATAATTGTCGGCTCAATAACAAAAAGTTTCTCTTTCTGCCTCTCATTAAGTCTTAGTTGCTTTTAATGACTTTTTATAATTATACAACAATATTTATATGGAAATTCATTTTAAACATCCATAACTGGAGCAAATTAATCGTATTCATCACACAAACATCTGCCCCTAAATATAAAATAAAAATAATTGTCGGCTCAATAACAAAAGGTTTCTCTTCTCTGCCTCTCATTAAGTTTTAGTTGCTTTTAATGACTTTTATATAATATTATGCCAACTTTAATACTTCTGCTGACTGCAAAAAGTATACACAATAGATAATTAAAGTTAGAATATAAAGTTACTCACAAAGATAAATTTTGAAACTTGCATCAAAACTAAATTAGAGTTTTAGATAACGTGAATGTGGTGTTATGGCCTTCTGTACTGTGGAAATACATTACTACTATGTGAATTAATGCTATTAAGTTAACCATTTAATAAAACAATATTAATTTAAATAATTGTGGAATAGTCCTTCTAATTGTCGTTGTTTCTCTAACCGCATTATGTTTGATTAACGAGTAATGATGTGATATTTCATTTAAAAAATGTGGGTTTTTGTTGACTCTCATCAAACATTCCGCCCACTGTGTATGGTATTTCTGTTTGATCATCTAACTACCTACAGTACACTAGATAGAATTCTATTTGAAATATTACACAGCTACGCGAATAGAAGTTTAATATATTATCTTTAACAAGTTAATATACTTTTATATAATTTACACTCTTTTTTCGGGGTTTCTAACAAATTATTTCAATGCGTACTTTATTAAATGCACGGTGATTTCGGATTGACAAAAAAAACTTTCACATGTTACAATCGTACTCAGAAATGTCAAACTAGTGTTGTCTCATTCTATTGTTATCGAAACCATCAACTTTAACTAAAGTAACTTAAAAGCTAATTGACTTCTCTGAGTGCGGCCGCAACTGCATCAAATCAAACTACAACTATTGGCGATGTTCACGTTGTGTAACTCCGCCCGCGTGCTGCGCCTGCGCCTCATGACTTTGACACACTTCGCCGCCCGACGGACACGACATACAATCATATTGACAATTTAATTTTATAATAGAAAATATCTTTATTTCAACTATCACCCAGTCAAGCGTAAAATACACATTTTACAACTCGATCATAAACATAATTTGATAAGTCTAAAAAAGGTTTAAATAGCCATCATAAAACCCAACCTAATTTGTGCTAATTCCACAGACATCGAACATTGCACAGTTGCAAAATATTACTCAATCGATTCACGGGCGGTGAACTTCAGATGGCTAGATATTAACGAAACGAGTTGGCCGCTCTATCACACATTTTACACGAGTAAGATTTAAATAATATCACAATCGTACAAAGAATGTTTGTAAACAAAGCTCTTCTTTGAATGCGGATTTTGCCCACAATTTTAATGAGAAAGTGCGTCAATAAGAAAAGAAAATCATAATTTCGTAGTCGTTTAAGTATTGTGTTAGATTTTACCGATAGTAATGAGAAAACTTGTCAACATTTTTTATATGGAATATGGCCAAATTACGACCAGGCCTCGAATTGTCCGTCCTACATATAACATAACATGTGACACAAACGTCAAACCAGGTGTACGCTAATTATGTTATATTGGTTAGAGTAGTACAAAAATCTCTACAGGCCTTGAATGTTGCAGGCAAAAGGTTATGCGGTCACGGGTCCGATCGTCGTGTGTATAATATAATTAAGTATGTATTTTGCCAAAAAAAACATAATCAATAACCGTTATTATGTTTTCGTTTTAGTAGGTATTAATTTACAGGATATTAAAATCATTATGCCTGTTGTACTAACTAGGCGAAGAATTACTTTATTTATTTTGGTTGTTTTGTTATGTAATTTCATGGAGGATAACTAACTAAATTCTTTGTCTATCAGGTACATTATCAAAAAGTATTGGACACATATTTTTATCTTTATTCACATAATCAAAACATTACAGAATTTGAAATATCGCAAGATGTCACGTCTTGGTACAACTTTTACTTAGAGGTGACGTATGCGCTTTATCTTGGTAATTGATAAAATAAAAAGTAAATTATATTAACCCAATCATCATCTCTATTCACAAAATCAATTCACTACTTGCAGAATTCACAGATTACAGTTCCTGCTAAAATTTGCAAATTTTCCTCTTTCTAATGTTAGTATAGACGTTACCGTTCGTATGTCCTCGTATATCCCGTTGAGGTCGTCCTCCAGCAAACGGTAGGGGTCGACGATCTGTGTGCCATAGTCTGGCAAAGAGCCCGTGCTCGTGCTCTGCAGGCTGGAGGCGAGGCGGCGCGCTGAGCCCGTGTTCGCGTGCACTCCAGTCCCGCACGCGGGGCCGCATGTGGTCACCCTCTGCAAGCGAAACAATACCGTAAATATGTTGTCAATAAGCTTCCTAATGTCACCGTTATGAGGCTACCGTACGGATACGTTCACGCAGAACATATTCTATCTATTTACAAGAAAAAACAAAATGTCTAAATCCTAGACACCAGTCACTTGAAAAAATTTACATTGCGATGTATATCAAGCAACATAAAGGCCAAAGTCAGTTTAGGAAATTTAACAGTTTTTTTTAATTGGGCCTTTGTGTGTTTACCACACAGTACGGACGTCCAATTTTGATCCTTTCTTACAAACGTATGGGAATGTAGAGTATTTTTTTATGTTTATAATAAAATAAAAATAAAATAATAACGAAAGATAAAAAAAATCAACTACCATAAACGCAGTAGCGAAAATTATAATAAATCATATTCTTTGCCGGTGGTCGTATGACAAACGCACACTGACATTTGGGAATAATGAGTTTAATGACCATGTACCAAATTTTAATCCTAGTAGGTTGTAAATTAATTTAAATTGTGATTTTTTGCCTCAGTGACTTTTGTTCCTACGTAAAGTGCTAGTTTGTTTTGCTCGTTACGCTGATGAGGCTTCCAAAGATAGTGAATCAATTTTGTTTCCCAGTGGCAATGTATCCGTATGGTATCCTCATTACACAAAACAACATTTCTTACTAATCTATTAAATACGTTGAAAAGTTAAAAAATGTCAGCTAGCCTTTATTTAAACAACGGCAAACGCAATGAACAGACAGTGTTCATGTCCAAGATACGTAAATGTGATTGGAATCGACTTTATATGCTGCAGGCGAATAGGCAGGCGTTCGGAAATAGCTCATGTATTTGTTATATGCCTTTATAAGGACATACAGCACTTTTGAAAAAGTATTAAGTCATACACAGTCTAATACAGATTACTTATCAGATTAACCAAATATAAAATATATTACAAAATCAACCTGAATATTTAGAGATTAATTTATAAAATTAAAATAATAATAAATAAATATTTCCAACATACACCAATTAGCCTAGCCCCAAAGTAAGCACTATAAGGCTTGTGTTATGGGATGCTAGGGTAACGGATAGAATACATATACTGTACATATATAACTATATTTATATAGAAATACATATTAAACATCCATGACTGGAGTACAAATGCTCATGTTCATCACACAAACATCTGCCCCCACCGGGATTCGAACCTGGGACCTCTCGAGTCGGCGACACCATGAAAACCGGCGTACAAACCACTCGGCCACGGGGGTCGTCAAATTTCATTCTACAGAAAATTAACATAGTTACATCATGCGGACGATGAAGAAAACATCTTTGAAAAAAATTGCGACTAGGCGACAGTGACAAAGTCATAATTAGCACGCGTTCTAAAGGACTGTCTTAACTACATACAAAAATTTTAAAAAATCTTTGACGACTCAATCTTAACTAGCAGCTCATCTAATCGATCTAAATTGGGTCTCTTGTAGCTGATCGGACACTTCTTTACCCGTTGATAATTTATACATCAGCGTGAAAAATAACATTGTTTACGCCATATAACCTCATGCTGGGTTTGTTTGGCAAATCAATGGTAAGGTCGAATGAAAAATAATATCCAGGAACAATTGTGACAGGGTGCTATCCAATCACCCAGAAAAGTTTTCCCATCGGCCATTTATAGGATTTTACGAAGTTATCAGAAGGTTTATTATGTTTTCTTTAGCTTCCAGAAAGCATGGAAGGTACGTAAATAGCAGAATATCTTCTTCTTTAACACAAAGCACGAGTATTGATAAAGGAGATGTTTCATATCTAATATATAAAATTCTCGTGTCACGGTGTACGTAATTGAATTCCTCCGAAACGGCTCACAGATTTTCGTGAAATTTTATATGCATATTCAGTAGGTCTGAGAATCGGACAATATCCATTTTTCATCCGCCTAAATGTCCACCATTATTATTTTTTGGACAAAATTTTTTGTTTTTATTTTTTTATGATACATCATACAAAAATCATCGCCTTAAATTATGCTCATCGAGCACATATAATATGTCTATAACAATCTATAATAAATTACCCGAAAATTTAAAAAATGAAGAAAATTACAATGTTCTTATTAAAAAAAATAAGTTAATGTTATTGAATAAATGCTATTATAGCCTCCATATTATGAATACCTAAATGATAAAACTACTATGGAATAAATATATTATTTTTTTATTTATATATTACTATATTATTTTTATTATAAAAAGATATAATACAATACTTATATAATTAATAATCGTACATAAATCATAAATCTAATTATACAATATATCTTATTGGAGTAGTATGAATAAATAATTTTATGGGTTTTAATTAAGTAATATAATTTATTATATCCAAATATAATAAATTATATTACAATTAAGGAATTATGAATAAGACGTCCTCTCCTCTTGCAATTGCGATACCCTACAGGGTCCATAATGCACTTTTTATCTATATATTACCACCTTTGTATCTCCATTATGGTCTGCAATAAATGAATTGAATTGAATGAATTGAATTGAATTGAATTGAATTGAAAATACGTACAAACCATTTATTTATTTAATTTTCACCCTTCTATATTTTTTTATGGCGGTACGAAGTTTGCGGGGACAGCTAGTATTGCTATAGGACTTGGGCTAGGTCTTGTACATAATGTACAAATGAAAGAATTCAAGAACATTGTCGATTCCGACCATTAAAATGTCCATTTATTGCTTTATTTTGCGGTACAGATTTTTTATAATTAATTATAACATTCAAAATCTACAATAACGAACATAGTTCTCAACGTCAGTTTGGCGTATATCAAGTCTAGAAAACTTAACGTCACTGTCAGTCATGTGTTAACTAGTGTCAACAGATCTGAAATACAATAACAGCACAGTACACAACAAAACATTTCTAAGTACTCTCTTACCAATATATATAAATAGAAAATATTACCCCATAATATTTTATGTGCTACTATAGTTTGTACAGACTTTTTGAGTATGCTTTAGTTTTCTCCTTCGTTTTTTTTACGTTACGTTTTTTTCGTTTAATATTACCACAGACTAAATAAAGACATCGGCAAAATGGCCGCATTATTCTTCATGGTACCAATAAATTAGCTAAAGTAACTAATTATTATTATTTTTCTGGGAATGCTTATTGTTAATCCTATTTTTTAAGAATGTGTACATAGACCTGACCCAAAATGAAAAATCTCCTTGAATTGAACGCGAGCGTATTGATTAAAGTTGCTTCAGTATTAAATAAAAACCACCTTTATCAAAACTGCTTTGATCAGAGGAGGCAAGTGACCTCCTGAATACAGGGTATGAATTGCTTTAACCAAAACACAATACCATCACGCGTCAGTACAGTAGGCCCAGCACAACTGACCTAATACAGGACAATTAAAAATGTTTAATGCGTTCTCGACACATTCGTCATGTGCTGACGTGATAGTACATTCGAATTCACATAATAGTGTTGTACCCTATAAAAATAGCATCGATACGCGAACCCAAAAAAGCACTTAAGTTTCTTAAAGTTTATTCCCTATATCCCACCCCATAAGACATGGTACCAACCCCTGTGACCCCTAAGTCGCCTTACGTAATAAATGAGTAGCCTCTAAGTTTTCCTACATTTTATTCTAAAATCTTAATTTAGAATGTGCTTTAACTCAGTTCTGGAGCTGAAAAAGAGAACGATTGTATTTTGTCATAATTAAGTAAAATGGCCAGTAATCTGCAATTCGGATCGGAAGTGACGGCGTAGAACTTAACTTTCAGAGTATTAACTTGATCATTGTACGGTGTTTGTAATTGTGTATGTTCGCATCACTAGCCACTTGTTGTTATTGGAGTGGCGAAGGGTGCGGCGTGCCCTTAACTACGCGCCCGCAGCGGCAGTGACCGCGTTGTGTTGGTTGTGTCGCAATAGTTTTATGCAACTGCAACCAACCAAGTGCAGTCTATGCCGATGCCGCGCCGATAGACCCCGAACATTGCAACACAAATACTCTACACACGTACGTACGAATGTACGCGTTTCGCGCGAGCGCAGGATGCAATACGAGGATATTGGATATTATCAATTATTTTCGACAAAACAATCGTAATTATATAGGTCAAATTTCTTTCAGCTGATTTATTGAACATGTTGTCTTCAAAGGTGCGTTATTTATAAAAAGCCGCAATATTAATCACAGCTTAAATAAATTTCACATTGTATCAAGCCTTAATCAAGATTTAACCGTAACTTTAAACTGATGCTTTATTTTCCATTAAATAAAACAAGTTTCATCGGTATAGATGCACCGCTTTATTACGTTTCGCTATTGACGTTTCGCATCCTTTTCAGGATGCCTCGTCCGAATTAATTCAGACGACGTGGTGTGCGTGAAAATCTAAGAAACAAATTATTTTCCATTTTTCCCAAAACATACTTTTCGTGTAATTTACAAGTTTTCTAATTTTACAGAATATTATGGTAAATCGAATTTACTTTTATTTTGTATACTCTTCTTTGAGTATACAAAATAAAATACTAGGTCATCCCAAATTGTAACACTCATTATAACTAATGAAAATGATTACACGAATGCGACCTTTTTATCCACAATGCTTTAAAATGATTCAGTAAACAACCATGACTAATTAACGTTCCAGTTTTGCGTTACCGGCTAATGCTAGTCTAGTAGTAATGAAACAGTTATTACAGTAAATTGGAAATCGCAGCCCACAATGGGTATAGCCTCGATTAGTTAGGTAGATGCAAAGTGATGTATTCAATTATTGAAATGCTTATTGATAACCTTCCGCATGATCTAGTGACAAGAGATTTGTTAAATAGGATTAATTTAATCAAGAAGTTTGGTGCACGTGGCCTTAAGTTTTTTATGAGCCATCAATTTTAAATGAAAAGTCAGGCAATAATGCAAGTTCATAGGTAAGAAAGAATACAACAACAATAGCC